AGAATAGAAAGCTTTAGCTGAGGTACCATTTGCTTTTCACTTGTCTCCACTGTGACTTACTAAACAACCACAGCACTACAGAATGAATTCTCATGGCAAAATAATAAAGGACAAAAACATTCAATCATGAGTGGGAGATCACTTCATCTCAGACCTCACAGTCTTGTCCCCAAAGGAAACCTGTGCAGGCAGGCCCGGGAACAAAAACGTATAGCTTTACTGAATACTAAAAAACATGGACTGAACATAGACAATGGTTATATAGATCATTACAATTCACCTGCCCCCAGAGCAGGTAATAATATGCTCCAGAGGTAAAAATGGCCCTCTAGCATCTTGAATTATCTTACTCTTTTTACCTAATTGGACTTCTTTATCTCAATTGCTCTTTAGCTGCTCAGTAACTACTTCTGTTTACTTTTCTTTGCTTCATACGTTTACTGTCCACTTCCCTTCTTAAGTGACCTATTTACATAACATGGCTACACAAAATTAATTGTTCCACTTAGAAGCAAATACAGGCAAAGCCTTTTCAGCCCTAAGGAAGGGCATTGTGTGCCCAAAAGCTGGTTTAATACATCTCCCAACTGCCAATCAAAGATTTCCAAATATTTCCTGCTTGTACCATAGTAGGGCTGGAGGGTCCAATCTTTTATTGGACCAACTGTAAAACTGGAGAGATGTTAGACAAGCTTTCAGGCACAAAATGCCCTTCTCCCGATCTGGGAAAGAAGCGGGCATATTCTAAGTTAAATACCAAATAACAATAGCTTGTGTTTAACTTCATATGTAAAAGAAAATGGGCCCTTAAAGGAGTGGAGGTGGACTGTAAACTAGGCGCAAAGAGAAGTTATCAGAAGCAGCTTCAGAATTGTTGCTGCAGAAATAGCATCAAATGGCTTCCTTTCAATTAGTCTTTAGCCAGCTGACCACTTCCTTTGCTGTTCAAAGACCATTCATTTCACGAATGTAGTTGGCTATTTGAATACTGTATTAGCTTACTGAGTGACTCTGACATTGGATCGTACTCTCTTTAACTCAGTTGGAGTCTTTCCCCTGATTTCAGTGAGCTCTGGATCAGGTTCTTTTTGAGTTGAGAGTTGCTAGACTCATAGAAAAATAGGCCTAGAAGTGACCTCAGTAGGTCTAGTCCAGCTTCCTTCCTGCTCAAGACAGAATCATCCTTATCTAAACCATTTCACCGAAGACTAGAGAGAGGTAGTTAGCCATTTTAGTCTGACTTCTGCCTCATTTCATCCAAGTATTTGTCTAACCTGCTCATATAGACTTCCAAGGATGGAGATTCTATGACCTTTCTGGATAATTTGTCCCAGTGCTTAACCACACTTTTAGTTAGCAAGTTCTTCCTAATATTTACCATGCAGATCCCATGATGCAATTTAAAACCATTATACCTTGTCCTGCCTCTGAAGCCACAGAGAATATCACCATCCTCTTTATAAGCCCCTTTCATGTATTTTAAAACATATCCAATCCACTCCCAGCCTTTTCTCCAGACTAAATAAATCCCAGTCTTCCTTTTCTTGATGGTCATGTTTCCCAGGCTTCTAATAATTTTTGTCACTGTCGACTAGACTTTTTCCAATTTGCATCTTTTTTGGGAAATCCCAAAACTGGGTACAGTATTTCACATGAGGGTTCCCCAGTGCTGAGTAGAACAGAAGAATCGTTTCCCTTAAGTTGCTGGTGACACCCCTGTTAATACATCCCAGTATGTTGCTGGATTTATTTAATTTTTTTTGTAAAAAGAACACACTGTTGACTCATTCAGCCTATGGTCCACTTGTCCTTATTGAATTTCATCCAATTAATTTCAGACCATTTGCCCAGTTTATGAATGTCACTCTGAATTGTAATCCTGTCCTCCACAGTGTCTACAGTTATGCCCACGAGGGTGTCATCTACAGATTTGCTAACTGTGCATGTAATGCTGAGCATTTTTTAATATAGAAGTCTTTTATTTTTAAACTGAATTCAGTCTTGGAGGAGCTACTCAACCTATTACCCTAGAGATCAGAGACCTTTGTTAAACCCCACAACAGGGTTTAACTAGACAGAAACAGGATAAACTTTTCCACACCTTCCTGACAGTGCACCTAAACCTGACCTGATGAGAGAATCCCTGAGACCAACAAAGCATTTCTCTAAAAGCTATTGTTCAAACAAGTATTGTAGTCTTGATGCAAGAGTTCACTGGGTAGATTCTTTAGCTTGTCATGTGCAGATCAGACTAGACTTTCATAACATTCACTTCTGAACTTAAAATCAATGCATCTATTAAAGTAGCTTGCTTTCCAGAGCCATTCAGTTCCTGTTCTGTTTTTTAAGACATTAGAAGTAAAGACAAGAAGTTATGACCCCTTCTGATGGTGTTTTTTATGCCAGTAATTCATGACACTAAGAAATCAACTGAGACCCTCAATTAATTTGATGTAGAAAACTTAATCATCAGATTTGTAGTTGATCTAAACCAAATGCAAAGTAGTACCCCACAAGTGCAAACCTCTATTGCAAATCCCCTGAACCATCAATTTTCCTAAATGGCTGTTTAATATGCATGGATTTCAGATTACATTTCCCTCCTAGCTGCTGTTTTCTGTATTCATTATCTCCTCCATAAACTTGCCAGATGTTGGAGTCAAGGCATGCACCTTTTCATGAAACTATGCTCAATAGTTTTGATGAGCTCCCATTTCTCCAGATGTTTTATGATCTCATCCCTTATTAATGTGCCTAGGAGCTTGCCTAACTAAGTTAGACTTACTGGTTTATAACTTTCTGGTTCGACCCCTTATCCCTTTCTTAAAGGCTTTGATTAAGTTGACTTGTATCCAGCTTTTCGTTACCCCTCTCCCCACATTCCTCAATAAGGAGCTATTTATCTCTGGCCCTGTAATCTTTTCACAGTCTCTCTCACATTTCTAAGGTGTAGCTTAGAAAAAAATGTCTATCTTGACAGATTTACTTTAGAAAAGGCTGATTCCAGTATCACTTGTGGGAATTGATGTTTCTTAAGTTTGAAGTCCCCTTTTATGTGTTCTGGAATTTGCACATGTTTCTTCTGTAACAGTTGTACCTAAGTTTGGCCTACTACGTATCACCCAAAACCTTATGCACTGGATTGGTAGATGCAAGCATGTTAGGTCAATTGCATGCATGTTTTTATGTACAGAATTTTAAAACTCAGCTTTCTTATCCTCCATCAGAAACATTTCTTCTGCTGCCTTAAAATTGTTTGTAAAAACAGAGAGGGATAGTTCCTATTAAGCATTTTGTGAAATCATTGCTTAACTTCATACGGGTGTAACAGGAAATCAGTTGAGCATTGTGTAGACAAGTTCCCAATTCTGTAGTGTCTCAGAGGCCACAATTTAGACATAATAAATAGTGCATTGCAGATTTTTGGCTGTAGTGAAAAATAAGAAGCAATAGCTATGCTAGGAATTTCCAAACATAGAAACTACATGAATGGGGCATTTATATATTAAAAAATTGAGCCTTTTAGTGAGTTAAATCAAATATGTCCCACTATATTTTTGTACTGCCTAGATTTCATTAAGGATGCACACATGGATGCATTTAGCAGTATTCCTGAAACCAGTTTCATTCCAGTCCAAATGAAAGTTCTCTGATCCATTTACTTCTTCTGAAACTCTAAACTAAAAGCCTGTCTTCCCCCTCTGCAAACATGTGGATCCTCTCAGCTGAACTGAGAAAGAGATAAACAATATCATTTGTCTTGTTTCCCAATATTTTGGCACTTTACCTATCCTCCAAGTGCAGACTTCTTCCATTAAAATATCATATAATAAGTTAACCATCTCACTCTTCAGAGCAGGGCTGTGTAATTGGACTATCCAATTGGCTTCACACTGAGGTAAGCCTTACCCCTTATTGTTTGTGTTGTACTGAGTAACTGCAGCTTGGACCAGTACCAACTTTGGAACAGGGTAAATGATTGAATATTCCAGGGGCTATATGATATGTCAAGTGCAGATGTCCCCAAATACCACCTCCTGCATGTAGCCACCCACTGTTTAATTCTGGCCATCCCTGTCTACAGTGATTTTGCCCCTTGGTGTCTGTCTTGTGCAACCCGACAAAACAAGGAGCAGTCAGGTTATTCATGTAAACATATTTGCCCCTTCCATGTCTGTCTATCTCCACAGACTCTTCTACCCTCCTTGTACCTGACACATCTGGGAAACTTTACTGATGGGAACTAGTATGTCAGATGGATAAGGGGCACTCCTCATACCTGGGGCTGCTTGTTTTTCCAGCCGGGTAACCTAAGGTTTCAACACTTATGTCATTTTCCTCTGATTGTTCTTGACAGGAAACAGGAATGCTCAGCTTCAGGGCGGACGTTTTGATACAGCTGAAGTTTGGCTGGCATCCAACCAGACCCCAAAGCTGCTGAGAGCAGAGTGGGCTTTCTCCAAACCTGACAAGTCATTTCCTCTCCTGCTCCCTCTCCCAGGGGCTCAACCCTGCAAGATGCAGAGTGCTGGCCATGACCAGTAAAGCAGGTAAGCATATTCCTCCATGTAATCATGACCAAACTCTCACTGGACAGGAGCCAGAGTGCTAGGACCTTTTAGGTTCAACCCCTTCTTTGATGTTCAACATTTCAGTGGAATGAAACCGAACCTCCTGGAAAAGATTTGCCCTCTTTCCAAAAGCACAGGGCTTCCTTATTACCAACTTCACTTTTTCAGCTACAACTTGGATTTTGCACACCCTCTTCTCCCCGCTACACCCCCCCACCCAAATATCTGCATTTTCATGCTAAATAAAGTCAGTTATAGCCTGTTTTCAAGAGGTTTGCATTAGTTAAGGAAGTACTGTAAGTGACATGATCACCTTTACCCAGAACAACTATGCAGCTGATAACTCCACAAACTGCAGCACACAGACCTTTTTTAAACAAGCAAAGAGAGAAGCAATATTCTTATTTAAAACTTGCAGTCAAGACTTACCCTGAATCGTCCCTGACTCCCTCGTCGCCTGCCGATGTTTTCATCATTGCAACACACTGAGGCACTCGCTGTTTCAGAATGGCTTTAGAGCTCCTGTGTAAAGGCAGCAATCCCTTTCCATCCCAGGGCAAAGCTTCCACATCCTTAGTTTTATTCCTAGGAAAATTCTATTTCAAGGGGAGGGCAAGATGTTTAGTATCAGTTTTAACCTGAGTAGTAGCAGGGGGACAGCGGACTAACAAGCAGCGAAACGAGCAAACTGCCAAGAAGGTCTTGGTTTAGCTTCTCTCTTACTTCTACTTCCTGTATTTATATGAACCGGGGATTTCAGGAAGAGGCAGTCCTTGGTGGTCAAGAGTGTGTGTTTTGTATTTTTTTTAAAGCCATATTTAGTAGTGAACTTTGGCTCAGATTATTAGAAAGAAGGGACTGGGACTCCTGGCTCCTGGCATGTCTTTGAATCCTTAGAAAGTTTGGATGAAGTAATTTTACAGACCTGCAGGTATATCGGGGACAGCAGAGCACAGTGAACTTTGTAAAGAATTTTACAAGGGCAGTAAGTCTCCGTCTGCAAATTCCTGAAGCATGTGTATGTGTATTGAGTGAATAACTGGAACCAGATGGAGCCTGGAAACCTTTCCTATTTACATAGAACCTGAGGAAAGGAAACGGCTAACACTGGAGAAGTACAACTTTTCAGCAAGGCTGCCACTTTGTGGAAAAGATAATGATGGAATGTTAATAATACAAGGCTGCTATTCTGTGAACTGCAAACTGTGGACTGTGTATAGCCCATGCCATAAAAATTCTAATCTGGAATTACTTGTAAAGTAGTTTAACTCTGCTACAATAGCAATGTTTGTGTGCAGCATCTGAGATAGGGCACCCAGCAGTACTATTTCCTATATGGCACATATTCAGGTCTGAATGGCATTCCTATTTGGAAGTTTTATTATTCAGGAAATACTGGAGTTGAGGAAAATATACAATGGAAATAATAGGACTGATAGATGAACTGTGCTGCACAGGACAGTGATAGGAATAGCAGCATGAGATGCAAGCAAGAGTATTTTTTCTTTTTCTCATCTATAGGATGAGCATCCCCAGCTCTTCGGGATATTGACAAGCAGGCAGGCCAGGCTGGACATGCCCCAGCAGCAGGTGGGAATAACAATCAGACTGATGCATCAGCATCAAAGCAACTATTTCTCTTCCAAAATAAAACACTTTAAAACACTTGAATCCATAGGAGTTCTGACACTGACTGCCAAGACAGCAGGATCAGGCTTCACTTGTTTCACAGATTTCATGGTCAGAAGCAACCATTAGGATAGTCTCGTCTGACTTTTGATTTTGGAAAGGATATAACTAATTCAAAACTTCTGCACCAAGCCCATAGATTCCCTCTGAGCTAAAGCATGTCTTTCCAAAAGGCAGCTTGATGTAAAGACCACAAGTGATGGAAAATCCAGATATAGGTACGTTGTTCTAGCAGTTAATTATCAAATCTGTTAAAAATGTGTGCCTTATGTCTAGTCTGGTCTCGTCTGACTTTATTTTCCAATCAGTGGAACTGTTTATGGTTTTTTTCCTGCTAAAGGAAAGAGCTGCCTATTATCTGAAATCTTCCCTGTGCAGGGACCTGCAGACTGTGATCGGGTACAATCTCAGCCTCTGCTTTGATTAGAGTAGAACCTGGATAGTTAGCAGGAGTAGGTATATGGTCCTTGCAAAGCTGAATCATGAAGCAGCTGAGGGTTATATGCAACTGTAGTACACAACTGTATAGTTTGTTCTTTATTTGCTAATCTGGTGTAAATACAATGGGTTGTGAAACACCTGGATATGAATGATCTGGTTATATATTTCCATTCCTTCTATACAGTTTGTCACCCTTGGAAATGATGTGCAGGTTTGCAGATGCACTTATGAACAAATATTTTTGATCATGGAAATTCTGGATTTCATCAAGTGACAGGTACATTTGGACTAGAGCTGTTTGAAAACTGTAAAATACAGGAATATTACAAAACAAGATTGATACCTGCTAGTGTGTCTGTTTCAGGGGGGGTTGAAATGGACCCATTTTTGCGTTAAAGGTCAGGGGCCATTTGTAATTGAAAAACAGATATGGTTTTCAGTAAGTAAAAATGTTTTATCCCCTTTTTGATGATGATTGTTGGCAAAATCTAAACTGGTAACTTTATGCTTAAGTAGGACTTAGGGAAATTTATGGGGTAAAGCCCCCAGACACAACACAGAATGACTCCAAATGTGATCCAGAATGACCCCACACCTGCTAGGAGCTGGAATTTGTTTGGTGTTTATATTCTGGATAGCATAGATCTCTATGCATGCACATGCCCCATCTAAGCAGCTAACTCTCTGATTTGCACCTAAATTCTACGGTGATCCCAGGTGGGGGAGAGAGGGTGACTACATTCCATCCAAGTTCCTGAAGGGACTCGATCCATTAGCTGGGCTCAGCCTCAGAGCAAATGCCATATATACTGACAGGATTCAGCTCAGGGCAAAGTGCAGCAGCCACAAACAGTTTCACTCAAATACATGGGTAATAGAGGTAGTGGTGCTAGTACCTACATTTTATGTAGCAACCTACTGGTTAGAGCAGCGCTCCCAGAAGTAGGGATTTAATTCCTCCCACACCCTAAGGATACAACCCACATCTTCCACATCACAGGAGAGTGCCTTGCTACTAGGCTATGAAACATTCTGGGTGAGGAGACCCTTCACCCTTCCTATGGAAGCAAGGCTACTGAGCAGCCAGGAAATGCTAGAAGCATGGGACCAGGAGGACAAGCTAGTGGATATCAAACAGTAGACCTTTTGGCTACTTGGGAACAGTCTTGGGTTCCCTTTCCTGTTGCCAATGCGATTTCTAGATTTCACATTATAGAGTCATTGATTAAAACCAGAAATACCCCTGGCAGCAGGCACTAAAGCCCAGGATTCCCTTGCCCCAGTCCAGTGCCCTGACCACTAGGGAGCAGACGTCTTTAAGGGGCCAATCTACATTTTGCCCTTGGATAAAAGGGCACCAAACATGTCATGAAAAAGAGTCATATTTCTCCTATAAATATTTACTTAGGGGGGATAAAGACTGCAGTAAAGACTGTCTGTATATTTTAACCAGTCATAATAAAGAAGGCTGGAAAAAAGGAAGGACTCAAACACTGTACATTGGCAGTTAGTCCGGGAAGTGGAAAGATTATACAAGAGCTAAGAGACTAAGTGGCATCCAGGTATTGCAAAAGCCTGGTTTTCTTGTGCAGGAGAGGAGGATCCAAACCACTCAAAGTTTGGGATTGGACCCAGTTACCCCGAGGCCTTGGGATGTTGAGATCTGTTGCTTCATCAAGCTTATTTCTAACAACGTGCTGCATGTTCCAGCCCGTCCACTCCAGTTCAGCAGTTTCGAGTGATTTTAATGCAGCCATGTTAGGAAGGTTTAAAGAATGGCTTATGGGGAAAGACCACAAACACAATAAGCACCTTCGTTATAAGTGGGCATGTTCAATGTGCATACAGGTAAGCACCTCCCAAGGACAGCAGCACCTCCCAAGTGCATCATTCACCTGATACATGTCAAAGAATTTGACAGAACTGGAGTGGCCTACTTTGTCACTAATCCACAGACGAGTGGCTCTTCTAATACTTATTACATAATGGGTCCACCTAGGCCATCCTGATAAACTGCAGCTGAGTTGGAAGATTGGGCCTCTTCTCCATTCAGATATTAATTTAATTTAAACTGTAAAAAATAATGTTCTCATTTCTTCAGCCTAAGATACATTAAATTCTAATGTGGTTTTCATATTGTGTTCCATAGAATCCTAGGGTTCTGCCAAGAGACTGGTGGCAATGGCAGAATAGCCCAGGAGGCGGCACACTAAGATTGCCGGCCCAGGTAGCCTGACTCCCAGTCATTTCACAGGAGAGGGGCAGGGGTCCCATGGCAGAAGTGATATGAAAGGGTTCTGTGACTTCTGGAAGTTTGAAAACCACTTCATTAAAGGAAGATTTAAACTTTGCACAAGAGAAAAGAAACTTCTTCCTTTCCACTTTATCTTGTGCCCTCTCCACAGTTCACAAGTACGTTCTGGACAGGCAAACGTGTGCCCTGCTGTCATTTACATTGGCTTTGTGTACTGCTGTACATTACACCAGGATTAGGAAGAGACAGATATACAGCTATTCCAAGACACCCTGCACTATAGGTAGCTATTATTGATCCCCACTGCTACAGAAAATGTCTGTTGGCTTTTAGAACACAGCTACTCTGGGATGGATGTGGGCAGATGAAACCTAAACTGGGGTACCTTACTCAGGTCCAATTTCATCTTGATCCTTCAGGGGCTGTTCTCACAAAGTGGAGCGAAGTTACCTAAATTTAGGGATTTACATCATCTGTCCGCTACTGTTTTACTCTGGTGTACAGGTTTCCCTCGATTTATGCTGTATACACGTTCCCAGAGAATGGCACATAAATTGAATTTGCATAAAGCGAACCCACTTTACAATGTAACAAATAGGGATAGGTTCCCATGGCAGGGAGGGAGGGAGGCAGTGAGGCTGGGACTAAGGAAGGGGCAGGAGGAGGGGTGCTGCTCCCAGGGCTGCACAAGGCAGCAAAGCAGAGGGAACAGAGCAGCACTCACCAGCTGTAGTGGCCCCAGGAGCAGCCAGTGCCAGCTGCCTGCACCAGGACGTGGCACAGCCCAGGAGCTGAGGTGAGTACAGGCACGGGGGGATGTTGTTGTGGGGAAATAATTTAGCAGTGCCGAAGCACACACAAACAAAAAATCACAACTTTGGGTTGTGACATCCCCCCTTGCTGAGAGCATAGCTAAATTATGCTATATACTCATATCTAGAACTTTGTCGTGAGTCATCAAACGAACAGATAAGCAAACAAACAAATAAACAAACATAAAATTCGCTGTCCTGGGCTTGAGTTACATAATAATCAAGAAACAATAATCAACACAAACACATAATCTGATTCATAACAAAACTGTACGATCAGGGCTTCAGTGGGCGTCATGGCGAAGTCGTACATCAGGTCCTCACTTTTTTTGGTGATGTCATCCCTCTCAGGGCTTCTCTTCGCCACGCACTCTGGATTCCGGATCTGTAAACAGAAAACTTCTAAAAAAAAATAGATTAGTGATCTTATTCAACAGACTTAAACAATTTTTATGGCTCATATTCTCAATTGGATGAAATCGTTGAGGATCCATCATCTGGCTCTTCTA